TTTTTTTCTTCAAATATTTCGGGATTTCAGAGAAAGAAGAATTTAATGGAAAGGTCTATTGGCAATAATTTTATTGCTTTAAAGAAATGCAAAAGAACAAGTTTGTCTGCCTCGTTTACGAAATGTTTTTTTTTTATTGTTATTTAAAACAGACTGAGACCAAGTCTAAATGTGCAATCTAACTCCATTCGTGCGAAAGCTTTTAATTGATCTAATTTTTGGCATGCTTTTTATGTTTTTAATATCCCTTATTTATCTTTTAGCACATATTTTTACTTCATTATCCGGCTTTCCCTGTATACTGATATATTAATGTTTTAGCATAATTTTTTTATATATCGGGATTTTGTAACGCAACGTAACTTTTTCGTGGGTTCGAGTGCCCACTTATTCGACAAATTTGAAAGAGGGGGACATAAAGGTTTGCAATATTGCGGTATTGGACAATTTTTCCTGCGGTATTTCGGTAATTTTAATCTCGAAATGCGGTGTCGCGGTATTCTCCGAACCTGGGGGATGCGGTTTTCATTCAGCATTTTGGACGGTATCAAAATTATCCTTCAAGTCCCCCAGCGTTTTCCGAGCCTTCTCCAGTTTCCGATTGGGCATTCCAAATGAAACTTAGCTCTCATGTTAACCTATTGCCTTGATCCCAGAGCTTTTCGCAAGGAAAGGACATTTTGGAGATTTTCAGGCTGGATAAGGGCCAAATTAGCTCCAATCTACTCAAGAAGGCATTTGCAACATGACAGTATGCCTTTCTTTCCACTAGCATCGCGATTTATGACATTTTTGCTCGGGCATGCGCAGAAATCAAAGTTTTTGGACGAGAAAGTGACCTACGTCTTTAGGCTTTTCGTTTTTTTAATTTTTCTTTTTTTTACCTTTCCTTTTTCTCCTTATCTTATCTTTTTGCTGCAGTGATTGACCTTCTACCGGGCTTGCTTCCAGTTCAAAGCATTCTGAGAAAGCATCATCGAGACGGGCAATTTTTACCATGGAGTAGCCACGTGTAGTCGCAGGAAATTTTGCTGTGAGATTTTCACTCAAATTGCTGAAAATTTTCGTGCATATTTCAGGCTCCATTGAGCCGATCACTCTGATCTGGGTGTCATTGGAAAAATCTTTTCCTCCTTCAGAAGTTGAGTATGAATGACACCAAGTTTGGCCAAAGGTGATGACTTCAGAAGTGGAACAAAGGCCAAGCCTTGTCACTCGTCAATGGGTTAACATAAAACCCTATAATCTAAATTTTGTCGAATTCCTGGCGTTTCTGAGCTTGCTTGGATAGATTTCAAATTTATCAACGAGGGACTCATCTTTTGAAAAATTGGTTCACGCGATAAACGGTAAACTGCAATTCCTTGTGTCGCAATCGTAAAAAGTGTATTATTTTTTGTTAATTATTAGCCAACACACCAATGGATGTTACTTATTTTGTATAAATCGAAAATTACCTGATCTAACATTCATTAACACATTGTTTAATTGTTTTTTT